AGGAGCTATAAAGTGGGAATGATGATACCCTATCATATTCCATGCTCCCTGAGTACATGCTGAGCTCAAGAAGAAAATACCCTTTGCTCTGTAGCCCCACCCAGCTGGCCAAAACTATTTTGGGTGGGAATGAGAGAAATGCACAAGCTTCTCCAGGGCATCTGATGAGGGCTGAAGACAGGAGCACTAATTTAGAGGGACCAACTGGGATCAACTAGCAGGCCAAATGCTTATTTTGTGGCAGTAAGGGCCATGAATCAAAATAAATGATCTTCAATCATGTGATTGTGATATCACAATCAGGTGATTCTTATCACATATTTGAGAGTAAACCATCCAGTCTGGCTAACAATTTAAGAAGTTGGGGGGTGGGAGAGAAGAGAAGAAAGAAAGACAACGAAAAATGCAAAGGATGAGCAACTAGGTATTTAACAGCCATATGGTATGCTGAAAACCCGTTGAATTGTGTAACCCAGGTTCTAGTCAGAGCTCCTGTCACTAACAGCTTAGAACACCTTGGTTAAGTTTCTGTTTTTTTAAGTCTCAGTTTTTTAATGTGTTAAAGGAGGATGATGGACTAGATGAGCCAAGTTCCCTTTCAGCTCTGATGTTATTCAAATCTCTTCTCTCTTGTGGCCTTCCCATCCCCCCAGCATCAAGCACAGCATTCTATTTGATTTATGTTTCCTCTCTACCAGGACATTCTCCATCAGGGATCCATCTAAGGCGGCCTGCCCTTCAGAAGAATACAACCACTCAGGAATACTGGATGTTTCACCAGATTGCTAGCAGCAGGCAAGTGCAGAGGAGACAAATGGAAGGCAAAGCCTCTTCTTTCCTCTGTTATTCCAAAAGAACTAATAGAAGATGCCAACAACGCAGGATGGTGGCTCCAACACCTGATGGCAAAGGATGGTGTGGGGAGACACTCAGGAATACTGCTTCTTAGTCAGAGCTCTGATAAAAATGTCTTTTTAGTTTTAGAAAAACAGGTACCTTGAGTGTCACATGACCCTATGATTTAAAGCTGGAAAAGGACCTTAGAGACCTAGTTCAATCTCCTCTCACCCTTTTAAAAGTTTTGATGTCTTTATAAAAATCTCAGTCATTTCCATATATAATCCCTCAGGCATCATTTAGTGAGCCTTTCCTTGTAACAAAGAAAAACTATTAAGCAAAATCAACCTCAGCAACCACAGCTAAGAGCACATGTAACATTCCAGTGATAGTTCTCATCAGGGAAAGAGGGAAGGCACATTTCTTCTCTTCTCCATTGGTAATCATAACATTTAGCCTTCCTGTGTAAATATAATGACCAAGCTTAGCCCCACAAAAGAAATGAGGTATATGCACCCCCCCCCCTTTTTGGCAGGGCTGAGGGTAAAGGACTATGGATATGGAACACTACATACACTGTCATTCAGGTGACGTGCTCCGTTAGTTCTACTAAACTGCTTCTACCCCCTCCCCCCTTCATTTTTTGATACAACTCTGTGGAGAATGGAATGAGGAAGGATATATTTGACATGAAGATGATATAAAAATAAAAGACAGCAATAAAATTTAAAACACAACAATGCACAGGGTTCAGATTCATTTTATCCAACCCCTTCATTCTCCAGATGAAGATTACACAGAGAGTAACAAGGCAGAAACAGCATTCAAACCCTGATTCCAAACCAAGCTCTCCCCCTCTACCATACAATGCTGTATTCCTTGCCCATTTCACTGACTGTCTCCTTACGAGATTTCTATTGGTTTTATCTCTTCAAGACCCATCTCAAGCCCAATTCTATGGGGCAAAATTCTCAGCCCACTTCAACCTTCTCTGATGCCTCAGCTGGAAGAGCAAATTCATTTCACTTCATCTTTGAAAATAGCAGCTAACTGCTACTCTAGACTGGTTTGGTCTAAGATTTCTGGGACAAAATCCTTTCCTTCAGTTTCTAACAAGAAGCAGCCTTTCTCCACACCAATCCCTCTTCATTTACACTTGATCCCATCACTCCTCCCATCTTCTCTGGCAGAATACATCCTCAGTAATCACCCCCTATGGGATCTTCAAGCGTCACTTGATCCTTCCATCCTGCTACCTGTATCTCTTCAGCAGGTGCCTCCACTCATTTAACTTCTTACAATCTGGCTTCCAACCTTATCATTCCAACAAAACTCCTCTTTCCAAAGTTACTAATGATCTCTTAGTTGCCAAATCCAAAGGCCTTTTCTCACTACTCATTCTCCTTGACTTCTCTGCAGCCTCTGACACTGCTGATCACACTCTCCTCTTCGACACTCTTCTCTCTGGGTTTTCAGAACACCACTCTCTCCTGGTTCTCCTGCCTATCTGACTGCTCCTTCTCTGTCTCCTTTGCTGGATTCTCTTCCAGA